GCCTCCAAGCTGCTTGCCAACATGGTGTATCAGTATAAAGGCATGGGGCTGTCCATGGGCACCATGATCTGTGGCTGGGATAAGAGAGGCCCTGGTGAGTTATGCTGCAAACAGTTGGTTTTTGGGCTGGCACTACAGAGAGGAGGGGTTGGATGAACAGGTGAATGAGAGGTCTTTGTGTCAGTGCTGGGGATGTGTTGATTAGGTTCTCTGCCCTTTCTTTTTGTTCAAGGAAGGCCCCACAGTGTAGGAGAGGGCATGGAGCTTAGACCCACTGTGTCACTGACTCCCCCTTGTGACCTTTTTCCCAGTCAGTTTCACCATCTGTTACGTTGGTTAAATGAAGTAATACACATAAAGCATGTAGTGTCTGGCACATAATGTTTCTCCTTCTCTTCTCTCTCATAAAATGATAAGACCTACAAAGAGTGTATTTGAAAATAAAATTGGATAACAGACATAAAAACTCCAGTCAGTGCTTTTTAATAAAAATATAATGGTGAGCCACACATGTAATTTAAAATTGTCTAATAGAGGGGCACCTGACTGGTCGATCAGTGGAGCATGTAACTCCTCATCTCAGGGTGAGTTTAAGCTCCACGTTGGGCATAGAGGTTACTTAAAAAATAAATAACAATTTTTTTTAAGATTTTATTTGAGAGAGAGAGCGTGAACGAGCATGAGCGGGGGGAGGAGCAGAAGGAGAGGGAGAAGCAGACTCCCCACTGAGCAGGGAGCCCAATGCGGGGCTCGATCCCCAGACTCCAGGATCATGACCTGAGCCAAAGGCAGACACTTAACTGACTGAGCCACGCAGGCGCCCCAATAACAATTTTTTAGAATTGTCTAGTGGACATATTTAAAAAGTAAAAAGATAGGGACATTGTAATGATTCATTTAATCCAGAATACCTAAAATAATATCATTTTGGCATGTGCCTTAGCCCCATTTCAGGTGCTCAATGCCACATGTTGCAAGTGGCCCCTGTACTGGACAGTGAAATTCTAATATACAGGAAGTTAGTCATTTCTCTTCCCTTTTTTCCTTTAGGGAGTCTTTGGCCTAGAAGGGGCCTTTAGGGCTCATCCTTTCCTTGCTTGATAGATTCACCCTAGGACCCTAGGTCCCGTTCTGTCATCTCTGAAAATAAATTCCTTAGCCTTTTTCTCTTTCTAGTATATAGAAACCTTGCCAGGAGGTTCAACCTTGTATCTGATGTCAGTTCCTTTTCAGTCAGTTGTGTTTTGTTTTGTTTTGTTTTTTAACTTTTATTCATTTAAGTAATCTCTACACCCAACATGGGGCTCAAACTCACCACCCTGAGATCAAGAGTTGCACACTCCACAGACTGAGCCAGCCCGGCACCTCAGCTTTTCAACCAATTTTGGATGTCTCTTTATCAAGTTGGAATACAGCTAGCCACTTTCTGTATAATATTCCCCCTCCATGCTTGAGTAGTTATTATTCCCTTTTGTTTTTGCTTCACTCATTCACCTGCTTACTGAATGCTTAGTTTTCCTCTGTCGAACAACTAACTGCAGGATACCCAGCGCTTTTCCACTTGCTTTGGAGACTCTTAGTTCACTACTCAGTGGAGGGTGAATGAGAAGATTAAAAAGTGGCTGTGAGAGGAGCGTAGCTTGTTACTTTGGGAATTGAGATGCTTTCTTGGGGATATTGTAAAAGAACAGCTCAATACATTTTATGCGGCCCAGGGAAGCATTTTGGAAATGTTGCTTTGTACCCTTAGCTGATGGAAGCGGCGTACGAGAGTTTAGATCCTGGCTAGCAAGGAAAACCCGAGAAGCTAGAGCATAACCTAAATCGTGCCTTCTCCAGAACCTTCCTGACAGCCGGTCCCATTTAGGATGAGTCAGCCCCTTACCTCAAAAAGCAGACGACTGAAAAAGGATCACAGATTACTTAACATGAGGCTAAATGAGATGAATGCCATTTGTAAAAGAACCAATATGATGCTGAGGGAGTTTTGAGGAAGAAGGGATTATTTCTGATGGGAGGAATTGGGACGACTTCATGGATAAGTGCAGTTGTCCAGGATGTGCAAATGAGAGAAAGGAAGCATGGTGACCAAAGGGGGGGGGACGAAGCGTGCACTTTGGGGGGAATAACCAAAAGCCCACTTTGTTTGTTTAAAATATTTATTTGAGGGAGGGAGAGAGCACGTGTGCACAAGTGGGGGAGCGGCAGGCAGAGGGAGAAGCAGGCTCCCCGCTGAGCAGGGAACCCCATGTGGGACTTGATCCCAGGACCCTGGGATCATGACCTGAGCTGAAGGCAGACGCTTAACTGACTGAGCCACCCAGGCACCCCCGAAAGCCCAGTTTAATCAGAACTAAGGTTGTGTGAAGAGGAGTAGTGATCCATAGAGCCGGAGACCTAAACTGGAACCAGGTAGTGAGCTCGCTAGGCACGGTAGTGGCGATGGGACTGGGGAGGGGCTCGTTTTGGGGTAGACATTGGAAACCTTGAACCTGAAAACTGGTAAGCATTTGGTTCTCAACTGGCTTGCTTAGAATCACCTAGAGAACTTAAAACACAAGTCCCATACTTGTTCTCCGCCCCAGACCACCTGGAAAAGAATACCTGGGGTAAGTCCTGGGCATCTTTTTAAAAAGCTTTTAGGTGACTCTAATGTACAGTGAGAGTAGAAGATGAACGATCCCATTGGCAGGCAAAATTTGAGAACACGGGAGGCAGTGTGGGCTGGTGGAGCGTGAGAGAGATGAGTTTGGTTGGTAATGGAGAGCCACTGAAAGTATTTGAGGATAAGAAGTTTGAATCTGAACTTGGTCACAAAGGCATCCTGTTGGGAAGATCCAGCAGGCAGTTGGAATTGATAAAAATTTTCATCTATGCTAAAAATTAGCTAACTTATTCATAAAGGGCCAAATAGTAAATATTGGAGGATTGCAGGCCGTATGGTCTTTGTCTCAACTACCTAACTCTCCTGCTTTAGCACAAAAGCAGTCATAGACAATATGTACACAAATAGGTATGGCTGTGTTCCAGTAAAACTGTGTTTACAAAAACGGGCAGTTGGCTTAGCCAACCCCTGATCTATTACCAGCACTGTCCAATGGAAATAAAATGTGAGCCGTATGTGTAATTTTAAATTTTATATAGTAGCCACATTTTAAAAATTAAAGGAAGAGAGATTAATGATATATTTTATTTTGGAATGCCTGGGTGATGCAGTCGATTAGGCATCCAACTCTTGGTTTCAGTTCAGGTGTGATCTCAGGGTTGCACTCAGCATGGAGTCTGCTTAGGATCCTCTCTCCCTCTGTCCCCCCACCCTGTGTGCGTACACACTCGCGCACGCGCACTCTCTCCATCTAAATCTTAAAAAATAAATAAAATAAATCTTAAAATAATAGGGGCGCCTGGGTGGCTCAGATGGTTAAGCATCTGCCTTCAGCTCAGGTCGTGATCCCAGGATCCTGGGATCAAGCCCCGCATCCGGCTCCTGGCTCAGCGGGGAGCCTGCTTCTCCCTCTGCCTCTGCCTCTCCCCCTGCTCATTCTCTCTCTCTCTCTATCTCTGTGTCTCAAATGAATAAATAAAATCTTTTAAAACAAAAAAATAAATCTTAAAATAATAATAATATATTTTGTAGATCCAAAATGTTATCATTTCAGCATGTGGTGTCTGCTTCATTTCAAATGCTCAGTGGTCACACATGGCTAGTGGTTCCCATATTGGACAGTGCAGGTCTTTGCGATATGATTTGGAACTGTAGGCTCTCTCCTACTGTGTGATGTATGTCTTGTCCCCCAGATAGCCTAAACTTTGAGGGCTAGGATTGTTTTCTTTTTTTTAAGATTTTATTTATTTGGGAAAGAGCATGAGGTGGGGGTGTAGAGGGAGAGGGAGAAGCAGACTCCCCGCTGAGCAGGGAGCCCAACACGGAGCGAGGCCCCAAGACCCTGGGATCATGACCTGGCTCAGGTAGACGCTTAACTGACTCAGCCACCCTCGCGCCCCAGGGCTAGGATTGTTTTAAACATTATCTTCCACAGTGCCTGAAGTTCTATGCTTGAAACCTCTAAGTCACAGGATCGAGCTGGAATCAGGCTCCTTGCTCAGCAGGGAGCCTGCTTCTCCCTCTGCCCCTCCCCCTGCTCGTGCTTGTGTGCGTGCTCTCTCTCTCTCTCTGTCAAATAAATAAAAATAAAAGCTAAAAAAAAAAAAAGAAACCTAAGTCATTTGGATTATACTTGTTTTTTGGTTATACAGCGAGGACAAGAAAGCAGTTATGATGTAAGGTGAGATGAGGTGGTATGTTGTAGAATCCAGGAGTCTTAATATTTAATTTGATTCCTTCAGCTATTTTTTTTAATAGATCTTATTTATTTGACAGAGAGAGAGCACAAGCAGGGGGAGTGGCAGGCAGAGGGAGAGGGAGAAGCATGCTCTCCACTGAGCAGGGAACCTAATGTGGAGCTCAGTCCCAGGACCCCAGGATCATGACCTGAGTGGAAGGCAGACACTTAACTGACTGAGCCACCCAGGTGCCCCCAGCTATTTTTTTTTTTTTTTAAGTAAGGTAATAGAAGTACTATTTTCTTGTATATCTGTTGGTCTCCCCTGGGTTTCAAGAGGGATGGAGAACTTTTCTTGGAGAATGAATTAGATGTCAGAAGTGATGGTCATTTTTTCCCTGCTAACCTCACCTCTCTTTCCAGGCCTCTACTATGTGGACAGTGAAGGAAACCGGATCTCGGGGGCCACCTTCTCTGTAGGTTCTGGCTCTGTGTATGCTTATGGAGTCATGGATCGGGGTTACTCCTATGACCTAGAGGTGGAACAGGCCTATGATCTGGCCCGTCGAGCCATCTACCAAGCCACCTATAGAGATGCCTACTCAGGAGGTGCAGTCAACCTCTACCATGTCCGGGAGGATGGCTGGATCCGAGTCTCCAGTGACAATGTAGCTGATCTACATGACAAATACAGTGGTTCTACCCCTTGAAGGAGGGTGGATGTGGCTGCTTGCATTTCATGGGGGGACTATTGCTGGTAATGTGGATATAGCTCCCTGTCCTGTAGTGGAAGGGTCCTCAATTGTATTGATAATTTTTTTAAGCTCTGGTGCCGTTGACCTCTATGTGTTACTAGTTGTTAATGACCTGCTGCAGAGGTGATTTTACTTTCTTGGATGTTAACATTACACTACTCGACCTCAGCCTGTGTTGTGTCTTTTGTCCACACTGTCCCTCCTCCAAGCACTTTACAGCCAAATAAGCCAGGACAGTGGGAGGGCACTGACTGTAATTACAGGAAACAGTGGTGTGAAGACATTGTCTAGTGAATACATTAGCATCCCCACTCATGAAGCTAATAACAAAGGAGAAGGAGAGAGAGGCAGGGAGGAGGGAGAGACTTCCCGATTCTGTTTGCAAAGAGATGAAAAGTTGATGAGGTGGAAAGATGCACAGGGCTGTATGAGGAAGAGCTGCAGAGGGAAGAGCTCTCACCCTGCTGTGGGGGAGGGGAGGCCAATGCTATGCGCAGAGCAGAAAGGTGAAGAGGGTGAATCTTGAATCTTAAACCAATTGGGAAGGGAAGGTTTGGACCCTGGGAAAAGAGGACAAAGAGGTGAGTGTGAAAGCGGTAGTGACCACAAGCTTGGTGATCCCTGTCCTTTTGGCTCTCCGGTGTGTGCGTGTGTGGGGGACAGAGCGGTTGGTGGTGGGCTTACAGCCTCCTGGACGGGAAGCAGCACAAAATTGTCACTGGCACGTGTGGGTGGGGAAGAGGCCCTGCTGAGAGCAGAGCGCTGGTTGATTTATCACACCCAGCACTAAGGGGGTTCCCAAGCTATGGTGGCAGCAGATGGCACGGCCTTCTGTTAAAGAGAAGACATACGCATAGGGGAGATAGAAGAGGTTGATGGGAGAAACCTTTAAAAAAATGGGAGAGGAGGATATGAGCAGTACTGCTTTGTTTTTAGTGAGCAAGAAGGGGCAAAGTGGCTGGTGAGGGTGACAGCCCAGCATCCTAGTTTGAGGCTGAGGGGTTTGAGAAATCAAGGGGGTAAGGCCTCCTCTCCCCTGTGGTGCGGATACCTTCCCCTCCCCCTCAGCCTCCTTCAGTTGTGTATTGATTGATGAGGGCTGTCGGCCAGGAACTGATCGAGGCTTGTTAATTGCATTTGTCAAATGCAGGGAAATTGGGAATTAGTGAGATTGGAGCAGGGAGTTTGGAAAACAAATGACTCTGGTGCCTGAGGAGATTCATTTTGCTGGAAAGTGCCTCAGGAGCCCCTGGAGTCTGGGAGCCGCTAGGGCTACCCGGGACCCGGGCCTCCTCTGCAGGAGAGGTGGGCGGGAGCCACCGGCCAGCGGTTCGCTGTGTGAGAGGCACAGGTATAGTTGTCCTCTCGGGACGCTCATTGGCAGACCTTTGTTACAGATTAGAACCTTAGGGGCACCCGGCTGGCTCGGTGGGTGCGAGATCTGGGGATCATGAGTTTGAGTCCCACGTTGAGCATAAAGCTTACGTTAAAAAAAAAAAAAATCAGAACCTTGAAAAAAAAAACCTCTTAAGAGAAATTCTAACACCTGAGAGAAATCAAATCAGGTTGAAATAGAGTTGGGGGGGTGGCGCCTGGGTGGCTCAGTCGGTTAAGCGACTGCCTTCGGCTCAGGTCATTGATCCTGGAGTCCCAGGATCGAGTCCCGCATCGGGCTCCCTGCTCGGCAGAGTTGGGGGGTCCAGAGCCTCCACCACTGAGCCTCCTCCTCCATGGAGCCACAGCCCACAGCACCACCTCCCTGCCTCCACGGACCTTTGTATATACATGCTCCCTGGTACTCTTTGGAACCCAAAGGAACACAATTTGAAAATTACTGCCCTGGGAAATAACCTTGAGGGTGGAAAGAGAGTTGAAGATTGGAATTCTTTTACGTGAACGAGCCTAGGACTCCCTAGCCCATGAAAGAAAATTAAGTCTGGAGAGAAGAGATGGTCTCGAAGCATTGCTCCCCTTGCCCGGTTTCCGGCTCACACCTGGCTTTGGCAGAGGTCTAGCTGTTTAACGTAAGTACCTATTCTGCACGGGCTGAGGCCTTACGAACGTTCAGGCAAGAAAATGCACAACCGTCAGTCCCATGTTCCGTTCTACATGTGCCCGTTTCTCTTCCTTCCTGGATCTTGGATAAAAGAAAGAATTAATGGAAGAGATCGATGTGTGGTAGGTTTTCTGGAGAGAAGGTCGAGCAGAGGTAGAGGAAAACTGCAAGTGTCTAGGCCCAGTCATGCCCACCCTGAGCAGTTGTGGCTTCTTGCTGCTGAGTGCTGGTGGGGAGCTGGCTTTGCAGGGATGTTGTATGTTTCTGCTGCGTAGGGATGATGGATGCCGCACAGCACTGGAGAGATTCTGTCGAGTGGAGTGGACCAGTTCAGGGACTCCCATCAGATTCATTTCCCAGTGCAGTCCTCTTGACAAAGGATGATGGAAAAGAAATTGCCTTAAATAGCTGGAAGATTAATTTCTCTCGGCAGTTCCCAGGCGTCCACGGGACAGGGCTCTTCAAGTGATGTCTGACAATTTCTTCTCCTTCTACAGATAGATCGGTGACAACAAAATCTGACTCCTCAGGGTAGGTAATGGGACTAAACTGATTAAAGAGAGAGCACACACTCCTCGAGGCCTTGTACTTTCTCTTGCTAGCAGGGAATGCTGTGGGATTGAAGGCAGACAGACGAGCCTTATAGCGTCTCCACACCAGGCAAGGGAGGGCTGTGGGGGTGGGTGGGTAGAATGTTCAGGAGGGAAAGGGAAAAGGTAGGCGAGGACATGGGGAGAGGGGGAGGAAGGGCACAATGAAAGGAAATCAGGGACCTGAGCATAATAGTTACTGAGTGTTCCCTCTTTAGGCAAAACCAGAAGGTCAATGTCTCTTGATATCCTCCTCAGCTCGCAAATGAGAAAACTGTCAAAGCCATTTGGGGAGTGGAAGGTTACATCCTTTGAGGGAAAATAAAACAACTGATTTATTCTGGTCCATGGATTCCATGTGGTCTGTTAGGGGAGAGGAGCAAGAAGTGGGATGAAAAGGGAGTAAGGTAAAAAAAAAAAAAAAGTGGAGAGAAACAAGGGGGAGCAGTTCCCTTGTCAGACGGTGAGGAGGATGATTGGGTCAGTGAAGGAGTTACATGAGCATATCTAATCTGGTGAGTACAGTTAGGGTTTTTATGTGGTTATTTGTGTGTGTTTCCCTAGAAGAGCCCCTCCTGCCAGGGCTATAGCAGGGGATGAGGTACTTTGAAACTGACCAGCAGCAGTGACCTCAGGACATGATTAAGTGCTTTATGATTAAAATATGCATATATTGCAACCAAGCAACTCTGCTGTTTTTTGTTTGTTTCTTGTTTGTTTTCAAAATCCTAGTTTCCCTTCAGGAAGCCAGAATCATATTGGGAAAGCTTTAATTACAGGAGGCAAGGGGAGAGAGCACACACAGCATCAGAACTGCTCCGATCAGCAGCTGCCTGACCCTGGCTGGCACTCCTTCCCCGCCCCTCCCTCCAGTCCACCGACGGTCCACATTCCTGCAGCGCTCCCCAGGCCTGGCCCCTAAGCCAAGTTCTTGCTTCCAGGGGCTATGCCCCACTGAAGCATTTCAATAAAAACCATTTCTAAAATGTCCTGTTCGCAGTTGTTAGTGGGTCAGGCAGAAGAAATTCTACCCACGTCAGCTTCTTGGGTTTATTTAACCCAACTCATTTCTCCCTGAAGCTTTTGCCTCTGAGTGAGGTGCCAAGCCTAACTTGGTACTTAACCCTTTATAATCCAGACTCCGCTGTCGTCAGCCATGACTATCCACCCTAGTTTATTTGAAGGGAAATAAGACACCATGGATTCCACCTCTTCTGATGCCTCCTCTCTGGCCCCCAACCCATCTGCTCAGGCTGCCTGCCCCTTCTCTCTATTCTCCCTCTGCTCCATTCCATGTTTTCTCTCTGCTCTCTCGCTTTGTAAAAAATTCCCTTTACTTGCTTCCCCCAGAATTTAAATAAAAACCAATCAATCAATAAACCAAGTGCTGCGGTGGACTTTAATGTAATGAGAAAAGGTTATCCCTAGCTGTGGGGTACCCAAAGCGCTGGTACTGCAGAGGGAAACATAGATGGAATGAGAGAATGGGAGCTAGAGAGAACCAGAGACAAATGAGAGAAGCAGGAAAGCAAGTCCTGGGCAGCAAGAGTGAGAGTGAGCAAAGTAGAGAGGGAGCCGGGGACATGGCAGGAAGGACGGACGGCAGGAGACAGTGATGGGCAGAGCGGCACCGTGGAAGGGGAAGGGGGGGGTGCGGAGAGGAAAGGAGACTCCAAAGGACAGTGATGGAGAGAGTGGGCAGAGAAACGGGGAGGAAGGAAGCGGCTAGAAGCTAATGCACGATGAAACATGTCCCCCTGGAGACAGACCATTTCGCCAGCCGTGCGTAATGAGCACGCGCCCCTCTGTGCGTTGGCCCTGTACTGTCAGCGTTACTTACGTTCCGCAAGAATCTCCCCATGTCTGCCCTGCTTGTGCGAGGTCGGGAAGAAGGTTTGAGCCCTCAGAACCACCTTCTCAACCCAGCCAGGCCAAAGACAGGAAACTAGAACTCTGTCTCACAGGAGGAGCTGGGTCACAGATTCGGTACCTTTTACCTTTTTACTTTTAGGTTCATGAAGAGACCCTCTCTCCCCTCTCGGCTCCGAACCCCTGGCCACGTCCACCACACTTGCATAACTCATCGCGTTTCTTTCTGTAATGCCCACAGGTCAGGGCCAAGGCTGTTCAAGTGGAGAGAGGAAGGCCACAAACTCCCAGAAAGACAGGAATAGCGGGTGCTCCCAGTGGGAAGGAAATAAGCAGCTCCAAGGAGGAATGTGTGCAAATCAGAAGGGACCAAAGTCAAGGGGATATTTTTGCAACTACTGCAGCTCTTTTCCCAGCTTAGCCTCAGTGCCACCGTTGTCCCAAGGATGTTCATATGTTCGAAGCTTCCCCATGCATACAGAGTTTCACACAATACCTAGGCTCTTGCATGGTAGCTCATCTCCAGTGGTGATGTGTGGTGATGGGCGGTGGTGTCTGAGCAGAGGGAATCCAGTGAGTACCAGGGTTCTGTGGGAGGGCTCATAATCACCCTGTGCCTCTTGAGTCCTGAGGCTGCACCCCCAGCTTAATCT